CCAAGCGATACAGTTCACGGTGGAACGAGAGCGAGACGGGGCGCTTCCGTTTCCCGATGTTTTAGTCAGACGACAGGGCGAGCGCATGACCTTTTCGGTGTATAGAAAGCCAACTCACACCGGCAGGTATTTGCATTTTGCGTTCTGTCATCCAACTGCCCACAAAGCTTCAGTGGTTTCGGCACTCCTTTCACGTGCACGAGTAATCTGCACGTCGGAGGGTGAGAGGAAGAAAGAAGAAAAGAGGATTGTCGCCGAGCTACGAAGGAATGGCTACACAGAAGCGTTCATCCGCCGGGCGTCACGCCGTTTGTCGAGACGACAACCACCGCACCGCGGAAAGACACCTGCAAGCGACACACCGCCCGACCCCCTTTCCGCCCTGGCCACACCACCGCACACGAGAAAAACGAAGGCGCCAAACAACCGCGTCGCCGTTCCATATGTGCCGGGCATAAGTGAACAGCTCTCGAGAGTCCTAGGAAAAGCCGGGGTCACGGTAATCCATAAACCTGTTTCGACGCTCGCTCGCTTGCTACCGCGGCCGAAAGACCGACCTCCGAGGGAGCTACACCCGGGCGTTGTCTACAAAGTGTCGTGTTCTGGGTGTCCAGCCTGCTACATAGGCGAGAGCAAGTGTTTCCCGGAAAGAATGCGCCAACACAAGAACGACGTCAGGAAGATGGAAGTGCAACGTAGCGCTCTGGCGGAGCACTGCGAGAAGCACGACCATAAAATTGACTTAAACGGCGCTTCTGTTATTGAAACAGAACGGAATTTGGGAAAGAGGCTCTTGCTCGAGTCTTGGCACATTCAGCATACGCCTGCCAACGTGAACCGCTCGCTGGGAACAATGCCTTCGGTGTACGTTCACGGTCTCCGAAACGTGGTGGAAAGGGAAAGCCGGAGCCGTGGTGAGAGAACACGACGCGACGACACTTCCATGACCAAGACAGTCACCCCCTGAGGAAGGGACCGAGTCGGTCTCGAAACGTCAGGACTCTATTTGAACTGTGGCTGGAGCAATTTCAATTTTCTAAACTTTTCTACCCAGCCAGACAGATTGCTGTCAAAATGTTTACGTTTAAGCTGGCACTTGAATTAAAGTGAGCAAGGAAACCTGCGGTATGGGCTGCGAATTCTAAGAAATCTCACATTACAATTGTTATAGTCTGCTGAAATGTTTTAATATGCACTTTTTTAACAGGTATTTGTAGGCTTGTGCAAGTAGTAAATTTATTTTAAGTTCGAAGCGAACTGGGATAGCACGTGTTACATATTATAAGGCAATTAGGCATATTTGTCATGACCCACCTAACCTGCACAAGATATTTCAAAAAATTGAAACAAGCCTAGGCAAATACTGTGCTTTTTAAATACAAAAAAGAAACTAGAAACGTAACCTTGAATACCGTATTTATTCGTGTAATGAACACACTTTTTTCTAAAAAAACCAGAGCAAAGTTGGGGGTGCATTTATTATATTGGACAAATTTCATGTACACTATTTCGAGATGAGCAAAAAATGTGCTAATGGGAAGAAAGTTATGTTGCTTAGCCTTTCACAATCGACATACACATACACTGTTTGGAAAGAGCTTCACTGTTGCACTTAACTCATTTTTGGTGAACTAATGGTGCTATCTTCTGCAAGCTGTCCCCGCGCCGCCCGCGCACGCCATAAAACATTTCGCGGCTATCTTTTCTCACAATCATTTAACCGCACCAGTGCTATCTGCTGTGATCTTGAGTGGCGCTGCACTACGATGCACATTGTCAACTTTGCAGTATACTTGCACGATCAACGCGCCGCCGTCATCGACAGTGTAGCAAGAAAGCAACATTGCAGCAAGCTACAAACAAACTGTCGATAACAAGATTAATGATGAAATACGCCCCCCACCTCCCTGTCGACACAATAAGTTACTGCAGAAAGGATATTGCGTTCCGTGAAGTGCACGTGGATAACAAGCACGAGGAGCCAAAGAGCTAATTGCAACTGAAGCTAGAATGGGGGTAGCAACCATCTCCCAGATATACCGTATTTACGCGAGTCTAAGCACGGCCTTTGTTTTCACTATAAATATTTTGGAAAAAAGTTTGCTTGCGAATTCAAGCACCCTACTTTTTTTTTTTCTCTCTTTCTGCCAACATGGTGCAGTCAGAGCTGCCAAGCGCGCCCTCTCGTCCTTAATCTCGAAAGCAGTCATGTCGTATGCGCTAGGTTTAAACGAAAAATGGTGGCACAAGAGTTGGCAGCCAATCAAATTTGAAAGTCTGGACAGGTTGCGCTGGCGGTTGGCGCGCACACCTTTCTTTGTCAGTTTCTCCATAGCCCTGACATCGGTCAGAAGGAGTGCAAAGAGGGCATCCTACAACTTGAATTCTAAGCGAGCTGCGATCGCAGTTGTCGAAGACAATGGCAACCACAGTGCTACTGCAGAATTCGGCCTGGACCGAGGCTGCATCATCAGGTGGAGGAAGCAGCAAAACCAGATTCTCAAGCGCACCGCGACTTTCAAGAAAATCACGGGACCGTACAAGGGCCGACTCGCTGAACTTGAAGAGGAAGTCTGTGAGTTTGTTCGCAATGAAAGAAACAGGGGCTTTGCTGTCAGTGCCAATGCCCTTCAGGCGAAGGTGATGGAGATCGCGAGGAGAGTGGAGTTTCCCCGCACCATGTTCCGTGCTAGCTATGGCTGAGCAGAGTGCATGATATGAAGGAATAGATTGTTTTTGAGACGCCAGACCACGATATGTCATAAGCTGCCAAGTGATTTTAATAATAAGCTCGTTGCTTTTCAGCAACATGTGCTGGATCTCCGCAAGCTCAACAGCTATGATTTCGGCCAGATCGTAGCTGTAAAAACGGCCGATGAGACGTCCGTTTTTTTCAATATGCCGAGAGCAAACCATTAAGGAGGTAGGAGCCCGGGAAGTGAGTGTGAAAACGACAGAATACGAGAAGCAGCGTATCACATTCATGCTGGGCATTACAGCCGACGGCCGCAAGTTTTCGCCCTACATAATTTTGAAGAGGAACAAACATGCCCAAAAATGGGTGTTTTCCGAAGGATGTCATCGTCCGAGTCCATGAGAAAAGATAGATGACAGCAGAGCTAATGGAAGATTGGATCCGGGTTGTGTGCCAGCAATGCTCTGGGGCACTGCTTTGAGCATCAGGTACGCAATCTATGCTTGTCCTAGATGCTTTTTGCGGCCTCCTCATCACGGGTGTGAAGACCAAGCTGCTAAGAGCCACTGCGTTTCGTTCATTATTCCAGGAGGTACGACACCAGTGCTGCAACCCCTGGAGGTCTCGGCAAACAAATCATTCAAGGCCCTCCTTTGACAGGAATACGAAGAGTGGATCCGAAACCACGACCGAAAAAAAAAAAAAAAACGCGGACGAGAAAGTTGCAGAAAGCATCCCCGTCCACTATGACAACATGGATTTCGTACGCATGGAAACAAATCAAAGTCAACGTTTTCACGAAGTCGTTAAAAAAATTTTGCATGACGAACAATCTGGACGGCACCGAAGACGACCTGCTGTGGCACACAGAGAGCGACGGCTTGAATGGTGCGACAAAATCAAGTGGTGCGACAGACTCAAGTAGCAGTGATAATAACTGACCTGATACACAAGTAGTGGGTTCACTGCGTGAACCTAGTTTTCTTTTCATTTCTTTTTTCGAATTAAAATGCGATTTTTCCGGTCAACCTCGTTGATATGTTGTCGCGAAAGGACTATGCAGTCTTTTTATAATTTTTCGAATCTGACAAACCCGTCTTAACTTTTAATATTGTGATCGTGAAAAAAAAGGGGGTTTTTACAATCGAGTGAATACGGTAGTCACAATCTTTTATGAGCTACAAGCAATTTTTTTCTGGCTTTCCAGAAACCTGCGACACAATGGCAACGAATGGCCCTTCATGACAGCCATGGCGACAGCAAATCTTGTTGCCATCGCTCCAAAATTGCGTGCATGTGGTTGGGTCTAAAAGTTTCATTTTCGCAGGAAGCGACCGTTGGTTGGCGCGGGCAGTTTTGTGACCTTCGCTCCCTGTGCACTTATCAACTGCGATGTCTCTATGCACACAACGTCGTGAACCCGACTGTGGTGCATAGTTAATTAAAAAAGACTAGGTACGTGCCAGGCACAGATAGAAATAAAGACAATACGGCGAGGGCAGCGAGAGAAGGAGGAGGGAGGGGGGCGAGTCGAGGTGGCCGAAGGGGGTCGGCATAATAATATAAAGCGGAAGTGATCTAACCGGCAAAGAGATGCCATTAGTCAGTTAGTGGGAATGCAGCAGATGACTGTAGCGAGTGTGCTATTATGCAGGGAAAAGAGAGTTTTTATTTTGACAACTGAAGTTGGGAGTGCGTTTATTATGTGAGTGCATTCATTAGGCGAGTAAATACGGTAGTCGCATGATTAGACTTTCGGTAGAATGCCAAGGGATAACCTTTGAAATACATCAAGCTTTAAAGTTTAATATACTTAGAGCATATAAGCCAGCATAACGAGCTTCTAAACTTAAAAAAAAAAATTATCAATCAATGCAAGAGTGATGATGACATATGATGTTTGGTAATCCTTGGTAACCAATCTTTTTCCCTGCAAATCGTTGTTCCTTTACTACGGTAGCTCTCTTGTGGAGTAACGCTTTTGTTGGCAGCACTGCCTTTCCTTTTAGAGTGACGTGTGCAAACATTTTTGCCGTTCTGCGCTAACTCGAAATACTGCTTATCTTGAGATTTTCTCCAAATTCTACAGCTTCAAATTACCCAGGGATTTGCCCTGACCAGGTGATGAGAATTGCCCACCTGAGAACATTGGCTCCAGCTGTTTGCTGGAGCAACGTTTCAAGATTGAAGCGACACCTTTTAAATGAGGCTTACCAAGCTGGCCACATTACTAAGACTTTGCACATGTGCACGCTGTGCTCGTGCCTGTCGTGCCCCTTTAACAGCAATGCTCTGTGTGACCTACCGGCTGAGCGAGTCCAGGCAGACGTTAATGAGGCCATGCTTTCGTGCAATCTTGCCATAGTGGATGATGGACTGGGCTGATGCATGCACCCCCAACATGGACTGGTGCTGGTTTCCAGGCACCTCGGCCACCAGAGATGCAGGGGCATTGTCGAAGTGGCTCACAATAGCCTGAGCACACAACAGTCATCTCAAGCTCCTGAAAAAAACCTCGCAGACATTTTTCAAGATAACAATAAAGCATAGAATGCTCAGCACTTGACCTATGCAAATAGCTAAATTTTAGGTGCAAGGTGAATTCGAACATTGAAGTGTGAGAGAGTGAATCGATTGGACCATTTTTTTTTATATTTCTCAAATACAGTCAAATCTCATTAATTCGAACATGCTTAATTCGAACTTCCGGTTAATTTGAACTCACGATAAGGCCCCGTCAAAGCTATGTGTATTCCAATGGGCGAAAACGCCCGGTAATTCGAACGCTCAAGCACTTCCGACGGTTAATTTGAACATACCGTGCTCCAAAAATGCTCCCAGCACCCCGCCCAGTCCCGCGGCGGCACCTGTGACACCTAAACGCTGCGTGCGAAGGAAACGGAAAAGGAAAGAAGAGGCTGCGGTGGAATGTTTGCTCTCTCTCAAATGCCGATCTGCGACATGCCCGTGTCACACTTCTCCCTTTTCTGTCCCTGCCACGTAAAGACCCTTCTCCTACCAACGCAGCTTGCCAAGAGAGAGAGGGAAAAAAAAGAAAGCCGTCGCTGAGTTGAATGATTGTGTGATAGAAGGAAAGGAAAAAGGCACTATTTTCTGCAGCCCTTGCCCCTTGCGGGAGCACGGCTTTGTGCCTTGAGGGGGAGGGGTTTTTTCCTGCACCAATGTTGCGCTTCCCCTTTCCCTTCCCTGCCACGTAATTCTTCTCCTTTCAACAACGTGCTCGAAGAGAGCAAAAAAAAGCTGCCGTGGCATGTTAGTTTTCTCTGGAATTCCGATCTGATTCTCTCCGCATGGAGACACTCCTCCTTCCTCGTCACGTGCTGGCCATGCTCTGGCTGCGTAGCGGAGAGCGCGAGGCTCTGCTATGCAGCAGTCGTTGTTGTCGTCATCTTTAGAAAGTGTCAGCGCTGGACATTTTCGCGCGCAACTTCTCTTGCCAAGAGAATGCTGAAGTCGAAGTAGAAATGCTATGCAAGTTGTGTGCGAAATTGATTGACTCGCTGCAAGGCAAACGTGCGCAGACGCGCGTCACCGATTACTTCAATTAATAACGGACGTCCTGTGATTTGTGAATAAATGTAAGTCTACTGAAACTTCCCCCTCGTGTGTTAGCTCAATGCACATGCGCCACTGCATGGAGAGCCTTTAGTTTATTTAGCTTTCATTAATTCGAACTTCTTTTAATTCTAACAAATTTTCGGGTCCCTTCGAGTTCGAATTATTGAGATTCGACTGTATTTCCAAAATATTTTTCGTATACTTCAAAGCAAAATTATAAAAAAAATCGGAGAGGTTTTGGAAGCATATTTTTATGATATAGACACATGAAAGGATTTTTTTGTCTTGGTGGATGAAGCCCTGGCGGGGTGTTATTTTATATTTGTCTTACCACGAATGATGCAATGCAGAGGCCGCATTGTATTTATGTGCAGAGGCCAGATTAATTTGGCGCAACCAAAGCGTTGTCCACGACACTTTACACGTGAAAGGCAAAGATGCCTTTTTCTTACCTCTTTTAACTTCTGTGGAAGCCCAATTAATGTGGCAGACAAGGGCGCGCTCCCTTCAAGTACGAAGTTCCGAATCTGGCTCATAGCTAGACGTCAATACAAGAATTATGAATGCTGAAAATCTTCATTATCTGACTTCTTTATGACTTCCTGCCCGTATTCAAGATCCAAAACAGCACTGAGCCCCGCCTTAGTTTAGTTGTATCTATCATAACCATGTTCGAACGAGAGTTTTCTTGGGTCAATGCATTTGCAACCGTACCAAGCTTCAAAAGCAACTATGCCCTAATACGTGAGTGAGATATAGTGAAGCATAATGAAAATCTGAATGGGCTACTGCCAATCTGATGTTGACTGTATTTGTCTTCAAGAAGTTCAAATAGTTTGTTTAGTAAAATTCCAGTGCAAATTAAATTGCATAGCAAACGCCATTAGAAAAATATTCAAAATTTTGAATATTCCTGCTCTCCTAGTAAAAACATCACTTGCAATGATTGATGTCAGTCTATAACACTGTTAAGGCCCTGAGGAGTAAGATGTGAAAATGTATGCCAGCTTTCTTTTGCTGCACACAAATTTTCCACATTTTTTGGTGATATGAACAGCTTTCGTGACGCTGCGAGAATCGTATCACAAAGGTTTTACTCATTTGTACATCCCTGCAGAATAAGCAGGCACCATGGTATGTGCAAGTAGAGAAGAGACCTGATAGTGGTGCTGGCGCCAGGTGAAAATGTCACTCCAGTGGGACAGGTCATCGGTGAGCACAGCCAGGCGGTTGCGCCACGTCTTGACGATGGCCCGCATGTCGTAAACACTGGTTGGAGCCGGGCGCCCGACAGTGGAGCCAGCGGACAGGAGACCTTGATGGATCTGTGCCGCCTCCTGCAGTTCCATGATCTGCTGGGCCGCCTGGGTACATTTCTCCGACTGAAATCTTGGGTTTGTGTGCATCACATCACAACTGACAGTCGTTTTTTAATAGATGGGCTGGTGGGTTCATGTTTGATATGAGAAAAAAAAAAAAAACAGGGAAAGCTCAAGACAAGGAGTCTGTCTCGAGTTTTTGCCGATTCTTTCTCTCACCAGAACTTATGTAGCCCTGATGAGAGCTCAGCCAACATATTCAAAGCACAAAAGAAGCCGGAGAGGTATCCATTCACAACATCCGACAAGCTGTCCCTTTTTTTGACAGAGCACATAGAGTGGACTCCCACTAAATGAAACACTCTTAAATGATATTGCTGCTTAAATTAAACAACCGTTTTTGATATTATTGGCAGTGTACTTCTATTCTGCACCCCTGTTTATTTGCCAGTAAATGAAATTCCTGTTTAAAAACACATTTTCCTGGTCCCTTCAGTTTTCAATATTAGTAGTCTACTCTATTTTTGTTTTTATAATCAGCAATACTGCCGATCTAATTTGAGATCATTGCAGGAGGAGCACTTATTAAAGTGTAAAAAAACATCATAAAGGAGAGAACAAAATTAAATTTGAATAATAAAATAAAAACCAGTTAGTATAATGAATGAAGGTCCCGACATGTCCTGTAAAGTTGTTTGTGCCGCATGGCACACGTGTCTCGCCCAAAAGCCTTATTTCGGGTTACAACTACCGAGCGATAGGTGGCGTGTTCTCGAGCGGTGATCACCACTATTCTCATCATGGTTGGTAGAGCTGTAGTGCCAGTGGTGACCCCTGATGAAAAGCAAGCCTTGGTGGCGGGCGAGAGTTGAGAGAATCTCTTCTGCGCGTGGCGGTTTCTGCAAATGATTGTCTCTAGCGTGGGTTCTCGGTGCGTGGCACCGCAGGCTGTCAACAGTGCGCCTACGTGGTGAGTCGGGTGTTAGCAACACCGCCTTTTTTTCTATGTTGTTGAGTGGTGTTCAATATTGTGTAAGGATGTCCTAGCGTTTTGATCACGATTGATGTATCGATTCGGCAGACGATATCGTCATTCTAAAGCAGTGAAATAAATGCACGTGTTGTTGGGTTTGTTCCAACAGCGTCTGCTGGGTTCGTTTACTCCAAAAGCGTGACGCTCGCTCCCCATTTCGAGACCCCACACTGGCTGCCAAGCTGGAGCACTTGGAGCGTCGGACAAAAGATTTCGTGGTTCAGCACAATCTTTTGTTAGAGCCGGGGTAGAGTAGGCCTAGGGGGAATTATTTGCTAGCGTCGGTGTTGTGCTTTGTTGAGAGCGAGGGAATCTGTTCTGATGTGTTTCAACTTGTCGGAACGTTCAGTTTTTATTTTTTTTCCGCTCGCAAGTGGTTTTTTGTTGTTAGTTTTCAAGAACGTTGTTCAGTTGGGACGAGAGCCATACGGTCTGCATCCTCGAGTAAGCAAAGTTTAGAGCATGTGGATTGTAGGCCAGGCCCAAAGCGAGTGAGTACGGAAGCCTCATGGGTGGTCTGATTTTCTGTAAATAGCTTCTTCTATCACTTTGGAATCAGGAAGTCGGGCGTCGTTGCTGTCTGGTGTTGCGGCTCGACGCCAGGGCCTCGTGACACCGTCCGGGACGGTGGACACTGATCGCTCGGTAAGCTGCTGTGGGCAGCGAGCGATAGGACCACCTCACAGAGTAGATATCTCCTTGCGGCTGCCTCTTCTGCGCCTAGGCTGGGTTTTGGTTGCATGCCGGTTGTTGCCAAGCGACTCATTAGGCCTAAGGCTCAGCGCAGCGGCCTGTCGCACGTGGCACAACTAGGCGGATCGTGGTGTTGGGGTGTTGCTTTCTACTTCCCTCACTTTTTTTTTTCGCCTCGCGATGCATGAGTTAAAAAAAAAGTGCTCTTCGTTTTATTTTGATAAACGTCTTGGACGCTGCCGATGTATTAGCTAGCAGTACTGACCATCGTATTATGTGAGCGAGGAGCTCGAAGCTCCCTTCCCTAGGCCCTGCTCCATTGTTTCTGTTGGGTGTTTTGGAATGTACGCAGCGGGGGTGATGTAACCCGCGGCTGGCTGTTTTCTGCACATCGTCAGCGCCGCTGGCTAAGAATGAGGTCGTGAGGTAAGGCGATGGACATGACTGGGACCTGCGCAACTGCCTGCAGTCCGGCGCCCTCCAGAGTGCTGGTTGCAACCGGAAAACGTGTCAGCGCGAGTGACTGTTCATTGCACTGACGGCAACGTAACTGTTGCGTGACCGGTACTGAGCTGAATTCGTCGAGCCGAACAGTGCATTATGTAGTGACACGTGTTGTGATTTTTTTGTTGGAGCTTGTGTAACTGATTCTTTTGTGTGTGTTTTTTTTTTTTTTTCGGAATATGGTTTGAGTTAGGGTTGGGGGTATGTGGGGGTGCTGACACCCCCTGTAAAGTTGTTCAGGCGAAGGCAATTACGTCGTGTGGCTCGTCACTGTCCCATACATTTTTGCGGATAGGATTTGGCCCTTACAATTAGTCTGAGACGTGCGTCTGCGATGTTCGCGACAAGTGCAGTGCGCTGTCCTAATAACCATCAAACTTCTGCTTGCAGCTGCAACTAAGTGTGACCCGTGTGTGATAACTGGGCCGTCCTGGGCCATGCCAACCACCGGACCGAATCACACACACGCACGTTGGTGGGTTCCACACTGACTGGCTGGTCATGTGTGCCGTACATATTTCATTGCAAACACTTCCCCCCCCCCCCCTGGGCGCTGGAACTGCAAGCTAATCTTATCACGTCCCTCCCCCCTTTATTAATGAATGCAAACGATTGTTTAAGGTACGATACTTGTCATCGAATTCTGGTATTTTGATGCAGCACTGGAGTACTAGGTGCTGTGACAGCAGGTTCCTTTTTCCTGGCCACGTATTGTCTGTGATCTTGCCTAGACTCTGTGGTGAAAACGATCCGGAGCTAGCTGCCTCTGACCCACGTCCGAGTTCGGAGCAAGACCTGCAGCTATGGGGCTGCCTCAGTTTCTCATGGGGCTGAAAAATAGGATTCAGATGTTGAGTTACATGCCGTCCGTCCTCGAGTAGAACATCCATGAACGAAGTGTTCGGTGACGACTGCAGGCAGCCACACATAACCTAGACAGAAGTTCCTAGCAAATACTTGGTCACCAGGGTGACCTAGGTCTTGTTCCTTGGTCAAATCTAATTTTCTGCTTCTGGAGCCCCTTAGTCCCGAGATCCGGGTGTAGCAGGTCCAACACAGTCTTCAGTTTCCGCCCAAACATCAGCTCCGACGGACAGCAACCCGTGAAATTGTGAGGCGTTGACCTGCAAGTCAGGAGCATGCGGGCAATGTGAGTGCGAAAATCTCCAGGGCCAGGCTAACCCAACTTGTTTTTGACAGTCTGCCCTGTCCGCTCTGCAGCACCGTTTCATGCTAGAAATATGGCAGCACCAGCATTCGCCTCACCTCGTTTTTCTTGAGGAATGTGAAGTAGAGCTCGCTGGTAAATGCTGGCCCATTATCCGACACGACCACATCTGGAAGGCCTTGGTTTCCGAACACAATTCACATGCAGGAAATAGTTGCTTCAGCCGAGAGAAGAGAGACAAAAGACACTTCGATCCACTTTGAGAACGCACCAACTACGATAAAAAAAATAGGTGTTCCTTTAATGACCGGTATAGTCCACATGCAGCCGTACCACGGTTTTTCCAGGAACGGCCAAGGCACGATTGCACTGTTCGTGACACTGTTTGATGCTCCTGGCAAATACAGCACCGTTGAATGGCTATAGCTATATCGTTATCCAAGCTAGGCCACCACACATGGCTGCAACACAGACTTCATTTTGAACAGTCCTGGATGACTCTCATGCAGCAACTGGAGGACTTCATTACAAGGATTTTGTAATGACTCTGTTGTTTCACAATAGACAGTTCCCTTGCACACTCATCTCCTGAAAGTGTGCCTCGTAGGGTCTTCCCTCTGACCCAAAGTTTATCTGGCAGCCTGACCACAACGCTGCTCTTATTTGCGACAGCACTAGTTCAGCATTTGACAACAGCACCCCTAGGTTACACCTTCCAGCATAAACAATTCGGCAGGACAGTCACCAACAAAATCGACCGTTGCCAGAGGCTTAACCCATCGAAATATGCAATTTGTGAACCCAGCCTATACTTCAGGTCGTAACTGTACCCCGACAACAGCAAGGCTCACTTAAGCACTCTCGGAAAACAGGAGAGAACCGGTTTGTCTACTGCAAGCAGGCTGAGCAGCGGTTTGTTATCTGTGATGGCCTTGAAATGCGGTCCCATAATACTGCCTGAATTTTGTAACGCCAAATACAAAGCTCAATGCCTTTTTATCTAATTCGCTTTAGTTTTTCATCCCGGTCGCCAGGTTATGAGAGGCAAAACCAATGGGGCGCTCCTTTCCAGATGTTTCTTTTACCCCAGTGCTAGTCCAAAAGCGAATGGGGGTTGCATCAGTGACAAGCAAAGTTGGCTTTCCTGGGTCAAAGTGTGCAACTATAGGAGCAGAAGAACCTAGCTCCTTGCTTCTCCGCAATGTCTGCTCTTAATCAATTTCCCTGCGCCATGGTGTTCTCAACGCCAATAAGTTATTGAGCGGCTGTAACACAGCAGGAAGGTTTGGTAAAAACCGTCTGTAAAAATTAACTAACCCAAGGTAACTCTGAAGTTCCTTGACCCCTCGAGGTGCGGGGGCTTTCAGCACTGCTTCAGTCTTTGCCAGGCTTGGATGCAGCCCCGCCGTATTTATGATATAGCCTAAGTACTGAACTTCTGGTTTCAAGAATTCACATTTGGATAACTTCAGTCGCAGTACCGTGGTTTTCAGGAGATACAAAACTCGGCCCAAATTTTCCCAATCCTCTTTGTGACTGGTTCCTGTGACCAGAATATCGTCAAAGTACACAACGACATCGTCAAGATTATACAAAAGAATGCAGGAACAATTGGCGCGGTCCACTGAGAAGTTTTCACCGTTTTGATAATGCTTTCCCGATCCATCCTCTGTAGTTCTTAAAAACCCTATCACACAAAGCAAATGATATTGGGCGTCCCTTGACAAAACCTGGCTTTGCGCCCTTTTGTACGGATATAGAAGCTGCAATGCCGTGAAACGTGCCAAACTGCTCCAAAAAAACTTCCACGATATTGACTTACTAGGTCTCCTGTAGACTTCACCGCGTTGACTCTCTTTGAGCGATGCCTAGCTTGAAGGCCTTCATTCAGCTTCGTCCAAACAGCATAGGACATGCGCCTTTCCCGACAAATAGTGGTAAATGGCACTCTTTGTCGCCAAGTTTGACCATTGCTCCCAGCTTTCCCTAGAAGCGATTCATGTCGCCGAAAAAACTTCTCAGCTGCACACTCGATGGCTCCGGCGGCACTGATGGAAAAAGCTCGGCAAACTTGCCATCATAAATGGTCGACACGCTAGCGCCGGTGTCCAACTCTATATCAAGCGTTACGTCATAAACTTCAACCGCTAGGTGCGTTAGCTCTAACCTAGCTGTGTAAAGCGTCCACAAATAGAAAAATTCGGGCTCTTCTGCAGACACCCAGGTTGCCCTGGTTTTTCACGCGACTAGACCGGCTGCTACTTGTGGGGTCTTGTATGAAGAAAGCGCCACGCTCTTGGAGTGAGCGGACACAGCAGACACGGTTAGTCCGAACCAAACACACACACATTTATTTAACTACTTTTGAACGACGATATCGTCCGCCGAAATATCATCTTGCAAAGTGCCCTTTTCGACGGCAGTTGTGACAAAGCAACAGCTATCATTTTTTCTCAACGCGACAATGTCCACTTGCTCTCTAGAGCTTGGTCAAACAGTAGCTGTGCTTGCTGCCAGCTCAAAGTGCAAGAATGTTTAGCTCAGCCTCCACAGCTACGATGGCATCTTTCGCACTTTCGAAGGTTAAACACGTTGTTTACAGCAGCCGTGTTAACAAGGTTACGTCATTGATTCTGCTGACCACCTGGTAGCATAACATGCGTTCTAGAAATGTTGCGAAATTGCAGCCTTCAGTTAACTTTTTCAATGATGCAATATAGTCCCTTACGGTCTCCTTCCCCACGTCTTTTGGATGCCTCAAGAAAAACTTGAAACTAGCCACTACTTCTCATGCGTGAGGAGCGTAGTGCTTGCCAAGTGTGGGTAAAGTTTTAGTCAGTCCTGCTTGGGCAGGCCTGCTTTGGGCTAGGAGGCCTCGCAGTAGAGAGTAAGTCTCTGAACCGCAACATGTCAAAAATACCGCTGTCTGCTTGTTGCTATAATTGATTGATATGTGGGGTTTAACGTCCCAAAACCACCATATGATTATGAGAGACGCCGTAGTGGAGGGCTCCGGAAATTTTGACCACCTGGGGTTCTTTAACGTGCACCCAAATCTGGTCTGCTAGTCACTAGAGATGTCGTTCGCGATGAAGTAAAACTCAGCCCGCTTAGGGTATCTCGCCCTCTCCAATGTACTTGGGTCAAACGAATCTAGCTTCCTGACAACAGGCATGATGACGTGTGATTGTCCTGTGCCCGTTCGGTTCGTTCAGGCGACCTTATTTGCCACTAGTGATAACCAGCTAGTCCTTGGCCATGCCGGCCGCCGGACCGAATCACACAAACGTACGTTGATGGCTTTCACACTGACTGGTTGGTCATGTGTGCCACATTTATTTAATTGTAAACATCGACACCCCTAGGCGCCAGATCTGCAGACTAATCTTATCACACCATAAACACAGATTAAGTGTGGAAACACTCCTAAGTAGTGCGATTTTTGACGGTTGTGTGATTTAGGAGCAATAACTCTTTGGAAAACACCATTTTTGTTAGTGCATATTCTGCAAATGATTTTTGTTGCCTCAGCAGGCACAACAATTTTTTACAGCACTTCTGCAAAGTTTTCAGTGAGAAGATATTTTGGAATCAGGTAAAAAAAGGGCCCCTGAAACTGAAAATATCATATTCCAGAAGTAAAGTATTTTTAAGCCCCCGTTAAGAATAAATCCGTGTATGACTAGTCGTTGTCTCAGGTTATAGTTATACCCATTCACTGTTGACATATAAGTCTGTCATAACAGGTCTTGGATTTTACGTACTCCTATTACTACACACGAAAATCCTCTTCACTATGGAAGTCGGTAGTAATGAGGTTATACTGTACTCGTGATATGAAAGCTGCATCTAACGTTAATTCAAACTGGGTAAGCATCTTTATGAGATTCAAATTAATGAGATTTCACTACACTTATTAGCTTATTTCAGCCCTATGTTACCAAGCTTTTATTTGGTGCTAGCACATTTACAGCTTGTAGTCGTGCCACTTCAGTCTGTTTGCTGGCTCGATATACCTTGCATTGCATGCCTCTTCATATCGCATGAAGCCTGAATATTTTTCAGCATTCCTTGCCAATCGAATTTCACTGTGGCAGCAGTTGTTAACCCACCTGCAACAGAGGCACGTGCACGTGTGATACAATCTGGGGAAGGCGGCGCCATTCGCGGATGCACTGTCCCGTGATGACCTCAACGACCCGCTCGACGAGGGACAGGTGCTGCTCCTCCGGGTGGCAAATGGCAATGTAGCCGCGGTAGAGGTTCACTCGCCATGCCTGCTCCTTAGGGCAGCTCAGTTCCACCTGCAAGTGGTTGGTGCACAGCTAGGGTTTACAGATTTTCCTACATATTTTCTTTTTCCTATTCATTCTGTCCAAAGAAAAAGTACAACCAACGCCAATGTCTAGTACAGAATCCGAAGGCAAGTTTGTGAATGATGAGACTGAGCAGAAGACAAAGCTGTGCCCCATATTCTGCAGTTGCACACCGTATAAACTAAACGGGGTGTGCAAGTATTGAAATTTTCAAATACAAATGAAACAAGAAAGTGTCTTCAATTATCAAATACGTCAATGAGCATAAATTAGAGAATGAGAAGAGCTTTCGTGTATTTATTGTGCCTATAAGTGGAAATTTTCTACATTTGTGCCCAACTTTCTACAAGTGCCTATAAATGCCTATTTTCGAAATTCGTTGTTATATGAACACTACTTAACCTTAAAGTTTGTTCCCGAGTACAGTCGGAGACTGGTATTCATGTTACCGGACAAAATGGAGCTTCAAAAATTCTGTGGGGTTCAACCTATACCACATCTCAGAAGTTCCTTTCAGCACTGTCAAGTAGGCTAGTGCGATTAGTGAATTTTTGGTTCGAAGCGAATTCGAATAGTATATATGACATGTAAAAAAATTAACATATTTATCACGACCTAACTAACCTGCATAATATTTTTCTAAACAAAAAAAAAGCCTTATACAAACGCCCTCTTTTTTTTTTCCCTTTCAAAGAAAGTCTAAACAACTTTGAGTGGTAGCAGGATATGACTTTCCTTAGAATGCGAGTGATAACCTGTAAATTACTTGACATAATAAAATTTATTATGCATAGAACATATAAGCCATCATAACAAGCTTTTAAGCTCAATAAAATGTGGAATTTATATGAAGGTAATAGGTGCATTTAAAGGGGCTTTGCAACACTTTTCAAGTAGCCATGGAATAGATTCATAACGAAGCTTTTGGCGCGAAATAAACACAAGAAATGGACAAGCGCAAACTATAAAAAAGCACACACACACACACACACACACACACACACACACACACATATATATATATACACGACAACAGTCACAAGTAATATTAGCAAAAAAATAAATCCTATTAGTGGCAAGCACTCAAATAATCTATCTCGGTGGCATGTAACGTGACAGAGGGCCTCGCTACGCATGTCTTGTTTAATCTGCTAATAAAATATGCTTCTTGATCTCTCATGCAACTTTTCCTTCCATTCTAGCGAGCACTCTAGTTTCTGATAGCAGGAGTGTGCAGTTGCACTCCCTGCAATGTACCGTAATTACTCGAATCTAACACGCACCTTTTTTCCGGTTAAGCGAGTTCATAAATCGCATGCGCGTTAGAATCGAGTACGAACAAAAAAATTACGGTCAATCTATTGCCATCGCAAATCCAAAATGGCCGCCCCCTACGTGTGTCGGCATGGCGCGTCGGCTCTTTCTGCCTATGTGTTTCCCATGTGCGGCACTTCGTACGTGTGCTGAGGAGTTCGTCATCTAGTAGTGCATTAGCATCGACGGCGTGAAAGGGCCGACTCCAAGAACTCGAGTGCACCACGATGCCGCTTTTAAAAGAAAAGTCATCGCGTGTGCAGAAACGGACGGAAATCGGGCCGCATCGCGGTCGTTCCCGAAACGTGCGTGCGGGACCAGCGGAAACAAAAGCAGAAGATTGTCGACAGCAAAGCTTCACGCAAAGGCTTCAGTGAACCACAGCAGGGTCGGTTTCCGCAAATTAAAGAGCTGCTCGGCGAGTATGTGCTTGAGCAGCGAGCGGCACAGCGCCCCCTGACGACAGAACTGCTCCAAGTGCGGGCTGTGCAATTAGTCTTAGAAAAAGGTCTAATGCAGAGCCAGTTTAAAGCGAGCAGGTGCTGGCTAATTAACTATATGAAGAGGAAAGGCTCTTCCCTCCGAAGGGAACATGCATATGCGAAAGCTTTTGCGGAGAAGTACGATGAAAAGCTTTACAGTTTTCAGAGGTTCGTCCTCAACTTGCGGTGCAACAACGACTACCTGCTTGGGCAAATCTGGAATGCGGATCAGACGCCTCTTTACTTCGACATGCCTGGCACCACAACCGGCGAGAAGAAGGGGGCGAAGCAAGTTCGCGTGCTGACACGGTAAAACTACAGTGACAGCAATGCTCTGTTACACGTCAGATGGGCACAAGCTTCGCCCGTACCTCATATTTAAATGGAAGACAATCCCGAAAAGAATCGTTTTTTCGAGTGGTGTGATCGTGCGGGCCAGCGAAAAAAAAATGGGTGCGCGTTGCAATCGATGTCTTACGTTTTTTTTTTTTTTTTTTCGTGGTGGAAATCGGGTGCGCGTTACAATCGAGGGCGCGGTAGAATCGAGTAAATACGGTAACGAAAGATTTGAACAAGGTGTCCCTCTCAAAGAAGCTTTATGGTCTAACAATCTATTGTTTACGCCCAACATGGCATTTTCCACAAGATAATGGTGTATCATAAATTGACTTTTTAGCACTCTCGACCAATTTATCACGGTGCTTGGTGTCGCGCCCGTGGTCCCGCTTGCTCTGCCCCGATAACTTCTTACCTACAGTCGCATATATCCGGCGAAGCTTGTCTGCAGCAGAAAAAATCACACTACATCCGAACCTCTCCCCAACTTTCTTCACCTCATGGAAGACCACGTAAACATACAAAATGCTTACAAAAGGAGCCCTTTCTTTTCGTTTTACTTGGCTTATACCCCACGCTTACAACTTCATCCTTTGCAAGATCCTTTCGCTTAGGGCCCCTAATTTGCGTTCTGGGAACCTAGACTGCCGAAGCCTCTCAATCTGCCGTGCAAAACTCTCTTGCATGCGGAGTGTGGGCACGACTTTCTAACTGACGCTCCCAGACAGGCCATCGCAACACCATTCTTTACTATTTTAGAGATACCCGAACGGAAGTCCATGATAGGTTTGACACTGCGAAGGGCGTACATCCAACACCAAAAGATATGCTCAGATCTAAGAACTGTATGCAACCACTGTAGGGAACTTCACAGGTAAACTTCAGCCCTGACCCCAACTCTTTGAACACCTTCAAAACATTGGTCCTAGAACATACACACCCACAGTCCTCAACGAAAAACATAAAATCGTCCACATACCTTAAGGTTTTCACCACTACTGAGTCCACTCTAAGCCGCGGTCAACAACATCCAAGAAGATTTCACTCAAAACTAGTGCGTACCTCGACCAAATGCAGACCCCCGACTTCCGAGTGTAAAAGCGCCCGTTCCAACCAATAGCAGTTGACCCCAGGTACATCGACAGGAGCTCAAGGAAAGAACCCGTAGATGCGCCGCACCTGTCCTGAAACCTTTGCTCGTCATTATCTTCTCGAATGCAATTCCTGATGCACACCATAAGTCTGTCCTGTGGCAATGAATAGAAGAGGTCTTCCACATCAACACTGAACCTTGACTGTACTTTTACAGAACCTTTTATCAGAAACCGTGCCGCTTCCTCTGAATTCTTCACCTGGAAAGGGTCCACCACACTGAGGGATGTCAGATGTTTCAAAAGAAATCCAGACACCTCGCGCTGCCAAGTCCCAAGCTTAGAAATAATAAGGCGAAAAGGGTTTTCAGTCTTATGAGTCTTCACAGTGAAAAACATTTCTAACATGGCGCCATTCACTTTCTTCACCGCTGAGCACAGGCTATTAAGTTTCAACGCTTGCATAAGCGCTACCACTTCCTTCTTAACATCCACCGACATTTCTTCAAACGCCTTCAGGTGCTTTCTTTACTGCTGTTTCGGCTTTTGCCAAGAACAGCCCCTCCGGCAGAGAGCAAGGATTCCTTCCTTATCCTTATCTGCCACCAGAGGCCTGATCTTTCTCTCGACGAAATAGTCGACTAGGCCGTGTGTGTACGTCATGAACTCTCGTACAGGCATTTGAGGTTTCTGCCTCGCAGCCACAATGACCCATGCGCACTCAGCAATGCAACAAGCCTTCTCCGCTTCTGGTACCCGATCCGCCACCACTCTTCCCATCTCCAAGGTCTCAGCTGCTTTCAGGTGAGGCTTGAAACAAAACTTCGGCCTGAGTTCCATAGTCTTCTGAACTCTCTCATCATCCACAATGACATCTCCAGACATGACAACGTTTTACGGACTATCCACCTCCTTCCTCCATGGCAAGGTGGGGTGCACATTATTCCACAGGTATTCAGTCACACGATACCTTGTTCTTGTCCATTTCTTGTACAACGATGAAGGCGTACCACTTCCGACCCAACCACACATGGACCGAAGATAATCGTCGCGCAACCGAGCCTGTCGCCACCATTCCGACGATAAGATGCAGCAAATCCACCATGAGTGGGACGGTAAAGGTTGAAGCCATCCACAAAGCAATGCTATGTCGGGTGGGCACTTTTGGTAACGGACATGCCACGAAGTTGTCCTAGCGCAGTACACGCACATTGCATAGAAGGCCACTAGCCCAACCGAATTAGTTAATGAGAGCTTTACACACTGAAATAAACCAACTCGCCCAACAAGCCACTTAGATTCACTAAGGAAACTTACTGCCTCTCGAATTCACAGCCGTGAACATCTTTAGAATCCGTCCAGTATGAGCGGAGTTGCAAAGATTTGTTGCACGTTGCAACTGTATTCTATTTTCTCGTCCTTACAAAAGCGCTGGAAGCTCAGCAGGGAGGGATACCGCAAAGAAAGATAACACGCCACGTGCGCTTCATGAAAAAAAAAAGAGCAATAGTGCTGAACAAGTGGCTTTTCAGTGCGAATGCGCCCATACTTGTAGACAAGTGGCGGCCCCAGGAACAACTGAGCCAGCCACGCCATAATCAGCCCATGGCTGACACACTGGCTATCACGAGCAGTTTTTGATCTTGTGGCGTCATTTGCCGAGACAAAAGAGCAACGTTTAATTGAGTTTGAGAACTTGAATTGCGACCCGTGTGCTACACTATAATATTTGCCTCGCGTGTTCTCGGTAGCCTCGACTACCGATCCGCCGCATTTACTGCCCATGCTAAAAACGTGTTGCAGGGTCCCTTTGGATTCGAACTGAAGCTTCACGGCAGAGTGGGTACACTGCAGTGAAACCAACCTAACAGGCGATAACGTGCAGACTAATAAACAATTATTTGTTCATTGGGAATACTTCAAAATTTTAAATAATTAAAATTCGAACCGAAGCGAACTTGAATACTTTATTTTTCATTCGAATATTTGCACAAGCCTACTGTCAAAACTACAAGGCCCCTTAGCCAACAGGAAGGCCGAATAGCCTCTACAAGTTTATGTATCTGCGTTGCGTCATCTACTTGACATCTCGCCGTCGTCTGTGCGCATGTATAGGCAACAGGAGGTGCTTCTGTGCAGCCACAGAATGACGGAGAATGAAATGGAAACCATGAAGTGCGATCAGGGCAAAGAGTGTAGGTAAAAAAAAAAGCTGTTGACACAGTTTTTGTTCTGTTTGATTTTTACTTCATAAAAGGCACTTCACCAGGTCACATGAGAAATTTTAGTTAGACACTGGAAGCTGCTTAAAGAGCTTGCTTCACAGAAATTTCAATGTCAATGATTGTGGGCAAAAATCCTCATCTTTGTGAGACAGAAAAATTGAGAAAGATGCAAATAAAATACATAAAAACTCTGGGTCTAAATTAACCTTGCTCGTCACGCAAACAACCCGAAACCGGGTCGCCTGCACGGCAAGCGGGTGTTTTAACACACAGCCACGCCTCTGCTTGTCAATACAGTGAAAGAAACTGCATCTGTTTGGAAATGCAGTGAAAGTAACTAATGCTTTACAAACACACACATCCTGTATACATGCTTCAAAATACAACAAGAGCTCCTGTTTGACCCCTGGCATGAAGAAACAAACTTTCTTTTTCTCAGGCATGCCCAAGTCAGTGTAATGGAACGGGCGGGTGATTTCTTCTGTGAAAATAATGACATTTTCATGTAATAGCAGCACCCGGGTCCCCAGAAAAGCAGTGACCTTCTCTTTGCGAGCGAGTCTCGTGAACGTTTGCAGGAATGCGCTGCGGAGAAAATCCCAGGTTTGAAGCGCAGACTCCATACTTTTGAGCCTGGTCCTTGAGAAGTCTTTTAGTAGAAGTACACACGACAGAGCTTCTCTTTTGTGTCCTAGTAGTTGAGGGCGGTCCCGCGGCTGTAGTTCTCCAGCCAGGTCTTCGGGTCTTCAAACGGTGACGCACGGAAAATTGGTGGCTCTCTTGACTGCTGCATGACTATCGCGGACGTGAGGCAGCGGCTGTCATTGTCACCGCAGTCGAGGTCATGACCTTGGTTTCTCGAGCATCATCTTGTAGAGGCCCGTACTCCGGCTGTAAACCTTGCTCGCTGCAGCTTGTTCGGTACTCGTGGGTGCGTCGGTGTCTTCCTTGCGACATGGGCTGGATTCACAACTTGATGGGGACGTCCGGTACATGAACAAAGCAGCACCTCCACCAGATGTCACGGGGTCACGACGTGGATGAAAGAAGCAGATTATAATAACAAAATGAAACTGTTTATTCGGCTGAACTTGTGGCCTGTGCACTGAAGGGCAGATTACAGCGATGCCCACTGGCGCTGATAGTGGCAAACAGAGCGTCGGTCGTCGATCAACTGAAAAGTGGGAATGCGCCTCGGCATTTATACATGTGCCGTTGAATTTTCTAGCACTTTGGATAGCGGCCACGTAGGTTCCAGAATAATCTGAAACGTTCGCGAAGTAGGCAGAATCTTAATGAAGTGATCTACTACAGTCCCGAAGCTTCTCGAACACTGCAGGTGTGGTTTGCGCTGAGAATTACATACAGTTAACAGGGCGGTAACAAAACCTGAGGAAGGAATGTGGCAATATTAAGGTTGTCTCCAGTTGTTGCTTTGTTGTACTTGAGGTGTGGTTTAATGAAGTAACGGCGGGATACAGAAAAAATGACGTCGTTATATTAAGAAATTCGTTATATAGAGATCTGTTATAAGCAGGTTTACCTGTATACACATCCAGGTTCTACAGCATGCACTGATAGGTAGTATGACATAACTGCGAAGTACAATGTAACTTTCTGTTATGTTTGGCTTTAAAGACAGGAACATGTAGCCTTCGTCCATTGCCACTCATTAGACCATTCAGATTTGTCAGGATATACACCTCTTTTGCTGCATATCAGGTTGTTTCTGAATGTGCTCAGAATAACAAAAATATTGCATATGAAATTTCAAGTATTGTCACTACTGAAAAACACTGATGTAAGTAACAAATGGGTATAAGAAAAGCCAGAGGACCTACACTGAAGTAGGTGTGGAAAGGAAAATGCATACGTGTGCCTGCTTATAAGAGATACCTCATATGAGAGACAAGAAGTGCATTTAAGAGGAATTAAACTGCTGCTACTAATCATGCTAGGTACTAACAACGGCCATAAATGCTGTAAAGCAGTGCAGTGCTCTTCCTCATGGACAAATGTTATCACAGCCGAGGCACAACAGCTGCACTTTTGGGCTTGCCCAGAACAATGAGCATCTGGTGAAACTCAGTTTAGGGACGTCTAAAAGCCCGAGTCATATTTACAAAAATACATCCCTCACATTTTATATGCAAAAAGTGGGGCGCAGTACTGAACAGAGACTGATGAAAATAACGACACAGGCGCACACCCGCTACTGAAAGTTTTTCTACTGAAGGGAAGATACAATTTATTGGGGACTATTAGGGATAGTCTTTCTGTCTTTTAGGCTAGAAAAACTGTACCATGTGCTTAATCTGTAAGATATACATGTGTTGCCTCTTAAATAAACTTCTTGTGGCGTGTCGTTACTTTCTTCTTTAGTGTATATTCTGCATTGTGCCGAACTTTTTCCATTCAAAATGAATCATTGCCAACTAGCCGAAATGGCTACAATCCCTGATGTACCTGTGACAGGGCCTCCTTCATGAGGGGCCAGTTGGGGACACGCCAGGCACTCTCCAGCACAAGGTGTGGATTGGCACAGCTTTTGGAGCTGCCATACTCCAGCACAAGCTCCCACTGATTCAGCTCCTTGCAGCACCTGCAAGACAGAGTCTTATGCCTTTCAGCAGCACAGCCACTTGTGCTACACTACACACCTGTGCAGCTGGGCTTCGCAATAACAAAACATTTTGGGAAGAAGCCAAATTAAAGGAGAAATTTAGGCCTCTGCAAATATTCAAGCACTTTGAATATTTGAACATCTACTACAGTATTCAAATTCATTTCAACTCGAATTTATATTACTACAAATTAATAGACGTTTACTAGTTCATGTGCAAGCCCCCTTGTAAAGGTGCTTTCACTACAGTGGAGAGGGGCTATACTGTGATTACAGCTAAAGAAGGGAAATCCACATTGCCACAAAGCCCCACTTCAAGGTTAAATGAACAAACAGTATATGTCCGATTTCTCAGATGCCCAAAATACCGGATATGCCCGATTTCCTGGACTCATCTGTGGCACCGTCAAGTTCCCCATAGAGACAATGTATTAAAATGTCCGAAAATCGGGGCGTTTATAGCTTCCGCCACCCGATTTTCAGGTGTCTTTACCGCTAACTGCAGACTTGAAGTCACTATAGACATCACCATTTTGGTTATTTTTGGACCCTTGAACCTATTGCGCCGCAGGCACCGCAGCTGCTGTACCCTCAAAACAGGAAATGCTGCAATCCAGTGCGCACCAATCCGTTTCCAACCACAGCTTAGGCCTTGATGGCTTACGCAGCATGGTGCTGTGCTTTGACAGTGGGAAAAGCTACGCTCACAGTTCGTACATGTTTCCAAAGTGAAAATTCAGGGATATTCAAGGAATTTCCAGGGCATGCTGCAACTTTTTAAAGGACTGAAAGTGGCATGCATATTTTGAAAAATTACCAATTTATTGCACCTACAATATAGAAATGGATATCATAACTACAAAAGAATTTCATCATAACTTCTTAAGATCACAACACAGTTAAATTTACAAAAGCGGTTGAGATCTTTTTAGTGTAGGGGGTCTGCACTGAGTCTTGATCAGCAAGGGGGCAATACCATAGTCGTGCCATTTTGAAGGTTTGTTCATACGTGCTCTCTTGCTGCGTGGGCTTTGGAGTGCAGGAGGTGTTCTGCAGGTCTCTAGACATCCAAGTTACCATATAGGTCTCAACATACCGCGTGCAACATACCCAACATACCGCGTGCGACAAGTGAGTGGACCTCCTAAATGGCGATGAACTAGCATCCGTGAGGATCGTTCATTGTAGTGTTTTTTCGCTTATATAAAGGTGAATAAATGCATATGTTAATAATGACTAGACTGAATCACTCTGCAAGTACTAAACAGTAAAAAAAAAAAAAAAACTCGCAACTCGCAACGAAATTTTACAGCACAAAGTTGAGATATTACTCCACTGTGAGCCCTGTAGTTCGCCAAACTGATTCAAAACGTTCAGCATAATAACATTTCAGATAAATAAATGCATAGGAGTTATGCACTTCATTGATGCCATCTGGAAGGAAAGCTAGCAGCGGGTTTACCATTTTGCCGGTTTATGCACCGCACATGCGAAAAACATGCCACACACGCTTTTTTTTTTTTAAGTGTAGTTTAGAAGGTAAATGTAGGAAGCTATGAGGAACGCATTAGGTGTAGTGCTAGAGAGGCTGGAAAACAATGAGAGCAGGGATTGCAACTTTAATGCCGATGTGTTTGGCTTTTTCAGAAGCGGCAGCGGCAGCGACATCGTGAGAAAAAAGCGTGACCGATGCCGAGTGACAACTTTGGTCAGATGAATCTCTACAGCGTGTGGTTGACCTTATCAAATGCTAAGCATTTCTTAGCTGACTTCGGCCACTTTGACCGTATCTGCCTGCCTGTCCGCCCAACCGTTCGTACGTCTATCTAGCCACTTATGACCTTCGGCTCTCCAGGCCGTTTTGTTGATAACGGTATCTATACCAATATTGGTGTAGCATACCTCAACTGTATGACGAGCATAAGTGACAAGTCATAACATTAAAGTCTTGAGATGATTGTGATGAATGTCATGATTTACATTTCATGGTCTTGCTGCTCCTGCGGTGGTTTCGTTCACATAACAAATCCCAAAACTGGTATGGTATGAGATGACTGCATGGGCTGCATAAGTGACAGACTAGCGTGGAAATCATGACATGCATGTCACAAGTTTCATGTTATGACTAGTCATGACTACACGCCCTGATCATGGTGTGCTGTATACCTATTGGACAGCTTTAGTATAATGTAAATTCTTTGCGGTAGTGTGTTTCACCCAGTGAATTACAGCGTAATGCCATTACGAAAACAAAACCAGAAAAACGATGCCCTGCAAAGTAACGTTGCCGCGAAGTGCTACACTAGCTGCGCAATCTATGATCGTGTAATCAAAGCTTCAAAAGCTGATGGGAACAGCACAAAAAAACAGGATAGAGAAAGATTGAACACACGACACAAGCGCTGATGTGAACAACTCTGTGTAAATTTATTACACCTGAAAATATTAGCAGAAAACAAGAACAAAAACCGTTACGTCGGCATAAAAGTGAAAGGCAAAACATATGCCACGAGTCGAAAAGTAGAAGTTAACTACTCAAAAACATTATCTCTTTTTCCAGGAGGGCGAGTCAAGGCTCACTGAAATACATGTTTTCTTTCGTCTTGATATGAAGAGCCTCGTTAATTTCGCATTTTGTCTTGTTACGATAACTTGAGAGTATCTTGCATTTATGAAAGAGCGGGACGGAGCCACACAAGGAGCAATGGGCTGCCAAGGTGCTGCTTGTTGAAGTCCTGCGATTATTTGCGTGCTCTCTCAGGCAGTCGTTCAAAGAGCAACCGGTGTGTCCAGTATAGGACAGACCACAGAATAACGGAACATCGTACACTACGTTGCTCACACACTCAACGTACTGCGTCCTGTGTTTCTTGACGCATGTATGCTCCTTGGAATTATCATTCACTTTCTTGCAAAGGCAGCCGAGCTTACGAGGAGCTGAGAAAACGAGTCTCACGCCTGCCTTGCCTTCTTAAGTGCATGGCTCACACCGTGTACGTGAAGAATGACAGAAAGTTTTTGTCTTTCCTGCGTTGGGCGTGTCCTGTAGCCACATTTCGAGAGCTCACTCAGTTGGGTAGCCGGCACGTTTCAGTCGCTCGTCCTAAGCGCCCAAGCCGAGTGGCTGTTTCGTTATGTGCAGGTATCAACAAAGTGAGGATATCAAACGCGCAAGCAAGCTGCATCATTTATTGTGAACTAGCGAGCTCACCAAGACGGAAGGACAAGACTGAAGTGTGAAGCGGGCAGAGCTTAGTTAGATGCACAATTTAACGAGGCCTCTACAATCATGTATGCTTCACAAGCATGTTTACATCATTTGTTGTTTCGTTACCATTTAAAAAGAAAACGCTGGGGCGCAGCCACGACGCGCATACTTCAGAGCGCAAAGAAAACGATTCGCTTGCATCAGTCGGTCTATCGAGCTGCTGCCTACGTTACTTCTGGTCAGCTGTAATGGCCAACGCCACGCATTGGCACCAACCTCTCCTTACATACATTTAATAAAGAAAGAAGAAGCTGTAATGGCGTCGGTTTTTCTAGTTTCAGTGTTGATTGATTGATATGTGGAGTTTAACATTCCAAAACCACCACACGATTATGAGAGACGCCGTAGTGGAGGGCTCCGGAAATTTTGACCACCTGGGGTACTTTAACGTGCACCCAAATCTGAGCACACGGACCTACAACATTTCCACCTCCATCGGAAATACAGCCGCCGCAGCCGGGATTCGAACCCGCGCCCTGCGGGTCAGCAGCCGAGTACCTTAGCCGCTTGACCACCACGGCGGGGCCTAGTTTCAGTATAAAAAATAGCGTTTTTGGTGACTTTTTTTCTTAGGTGACCACTTGCATTTTGAAAGTAAGTTTTGGCAGGCAGCGTTGTCTTCAGGTAGATTGCCCATAAATAGGCTTTTTGAGGTGTGCACATTTTTGTTGCAGTTGGCCTTTAATGACAAAATACGGCCATCGCCTCGCTTCCACATGAGATTGTCCAGAAACCTGCGACACAATAGCGATGAGTGACACCGCCATAGCAAATCCTGTCGTCATCACTTGAAGCATGCACGTCGTTGGGCCTTTAAGTTTCGTACTTGCAGGAAGCGACTGTCGGTTGGCGCGGGCAGTTTCTTGGCTTTTGCTCGCTGTGTGCTTATCAGCTGCGACGTCTCTGCACTCACACCCTTCGTGAAACCGCTCTGGTGCAAAGACGGGGGATGTTGTGTGCACAGATAGAAAGAAAAACAACACGGCACACGGCGACGGGCAAAGGAGGGGAGGGAGCGAGGTGAGGTGGTCGAGGGGGGTCGGCAAAATAATAAAAAACGAAAAAGACCCAACGAGCAAGACGACAGGCGTCGGTTAGTGGGACAGCAATGAAGGAATGTAAAGGGTGTGCTCAATACGCGGCGGAAAAAAATCTCATTTCGACGACTGAAGTTGGGGGTGTGTTTATAATGTGAGTGGGTTCACTCCGCGAGTAAATATGGTACTGTATTTACTCGCATAATACTCGCACTCGCATAATTATTGCACCCCCCACATCACCCAAGAAAAATACGATTTTTTTTTAAACGTACTATTGCTTGGAGATTCAATCTAATTTAAGCCAAGCCGAAGTGGCCAGTGCGCGTTGCGGCGTGTTTTGTTTGTTGTGTCGGTAATCTTGGCACGTTATGGGGTGATACTAAAGCTACACGGCTGCTTCAAATTGCAAGTGATGGATCATGCACTAAACAACGGCAACAGGGCCGCCCGTAGGCCCTTCAGAGCCTACTAGTTTTGTGTTCGCTACTGGTGACTGCAGCTGAAAGCCACCAAGACACGTTGGGCCTGCCGTGTGCCTACTGGATTGATGGTAAACTTTATTTCCTCAGAAAGAAACTGCGGACGATTCTGTTAAATAGCCATCAGCCCAATACTGACGTTCTACGCTTACCTTTTGAGGGCTCCTGTTGGGGGACGAACGCTATTGCTAC